GGGGGGGGGGGCGACGTCGGGGAAGAGGGGGGGGAGGGAGCGTACGGCGGCGGGGACGGCGATGAGGGTATCTTGGGCACGACGGGGGGGCCCGTGGCGATGGTTCCGCAGGTGACGACCAGTAGTACAGCCCACGAGAACCCCTTCCGAGGGGCTGCTGATAGATCGCAGCATCGCTTCCGTGCCGGGTGGGTCGTGTTGGCACTCTTGTCAGCAAAATGTGCGCCCTTGCGACGACGGTACAAATGTTTTTTGCCTTGCATCAATGTGTGCCCCACAGTGGACAAAAACCCTCGGGTTTCACGTTCTTTTCCGTTCTTTTCCCTACTGCTTGCGGACAATGCCATTACGCGCTGCGGTGAAAAAAGCCAAGTATGTTTGCTTTCTAAACAAAAAGCCCCCCCCGTCCCGTCCTCTCGCGGCAACTGGCCTTACCGCTAAGGCATGCGAAACATGAGGATGCCCCCCGCCCCGCCCCTTTTCCCCGCGAAGACTCACTCCTCGACGAACGCCATGCCGTATCGTGTCGAAAACCTGACGACCCGCAGGTGGAGACCACACCGCGGCAGGACCCGTTCCAGCCGTCGTCTACCCCGCTGGAGGAGGCCCGCAGGTACCTCTGCTGGAACCGCGTGGGCACCATCATCAGCGTTGACGAGGTGAGGCGGGCTGTGTGTGTTTTTTTTCTGGTGTTGTTGCTGTCGTCGCTGCTGCTGTCGGTGTTGTTGGGAAGTGTCGTTGTTGTTGAAAGTGTCGTTGTTGTTGGAAAGTGTCGTTGTTGTTGTTGTTGCTGTTGCAGCTTGTGCTGCTGTTGGTGTTGTTTGTTTCATTTTTTTTTTTTTTGTCATGTTGTGGTTGTCGCGGTGGTGCTGCTGTTCTTTTGGTTGGTGCTGTTGTTGCTGCTGCTGGTGGCGATGGGTGTTGGTGTTCTGTCGTTGTCGTTGTCGTTGTCGTTGCTGATGGCACCGTAGGTGACACAAGATACCACACCTCCTGAACCGATTTTCAAAGCTTGAATACTTCACAGCATAGGAGAGTGACGGTGTTGGAACCATGTCGTCCAGATATTCCCCAATACCGTATCGATTGAGATTTTCACCCTGTTCTTCGTAGAGAAGTCGAGGTTTGAAAATCGGTCCAGGGGGCGTGGTATCTTGCGCCAACGGTGTTACCATTATGGAATGGTAATACTGTACCACTATTGTACAGGAAATCGGTCTAGGGGGTGTGATGTTTCTTGTGTCACCTACGGTTATACCATTATGGTACGGAAATACCATAATGGTATGGTACAACCATCATGGTATGGGAAATCGGTCCAGGGGGTGTGGTGTCTTGCGTCACTTACTGTAGTTATTGACGTTACTGTATTGTATTTTGGTTCTTGGTGGTGACGGTGACGGTCATGGTGTTCTGACGTGGTAGGCTTCCTACACGGGGATTCGCAGCTAGGAATCCCAAACCAGGATGCCCGTTATCTTGGCACCGGTGCTGCTGCTGCTGTTGGTGCCTCTGTTCTCGTCCTTGTGCATAATCCATCCTAAAACTCCTGGGCGACGCCGTAGTGAACGTCGACACTTGGGCAGGAAAATGGAAATTATGGCCCTCCCATCGTTACACCCACCCAACAACGCCTCCCGTGTCTTGCCCTGGTACGTGGGACCTCGATTGATGCCTTCCATTACCGTACCACATTTCCTTCCGTGACGGGAATCGTCCCACTTCCTTCCATAAACGTCGCCGTTTTTTCATGTTGATTGTTTTTGTTGCAGAACACCCACAACGCGGTGGAGATCGATTTCGCGGACAAGTCGGCCGGCCGCAACCAGCGCTTTATGGACACCTGGAACTTTGTCATGGGAGCGCTCTCGTCTACCGGTGCGTGAAGATCCCGCCAGAACCCTCGAACGGGGACATGAGAATTTTATTTCTGTAGGCATGTAGGCAAACATTACTGTTGTTTTTGTTAATGGTTTCGTCTACGTTTTGGAGGTGCAGTTGGTAGAGGGGTCATCTGGAACTCCGCCATGGGAGCCCGTGCGCTCGAGGGCGCGTTTTGGTGAGTAAAACGATTCATACCGCCACCCCATTGCCGTGACTCATTTTCTTTGTGGCCATTCCGAGACGGATGCCCCATGATGTTGCAGTACAATCTCATTCTTTTCTTGCCCCAACTAATGCCCCCCCATCGAGGTTTCTCAACGCCATCCGCGATCGCCGATATCGCAAGCACCATACAAACCTATCCTCCCCCGCCCCCCCCCATTTTATGTTGCCTTCATTGTTCGGCGTTCCCCCCCCCCCCCCCCCCCCCCC